GTTGCTCTTGAACTCGTCTTCGTGGTTGTGGGTGGGGTGTACCAATCCTGTGACGGTGTGTATTTCTTCGGAATAAATATCGACCGATTATGCTGCAGAATATGAGCACGCTGAGACCAAGTGCCATATATTCCACAATGAAATGGTGTTGGTGCTGCGATAGTGTATTGTTCGGCAGTTCTTCCTGAGACCTTATCATATTTAAAGATGCCTTCAAACTAGTTATTTCATCATTAGCTGTCTCCATGCTGATGTTTTTCAACTTTAGAGATGATTGGCGAGGAATCGCTGTCCCTATTGGGCTTGAATGGAAGCTTGTGTGGGAATATTTTAAGCGAGTAGTCATTGTGTAATGGCTGGTTATTGTTGCCGTATGATGTGAGAGTATGCACCCTGGTGGGAGCTCAAGTAAACCTGTATTTTGCAATTTCACCTGAGAATGCTCATTGTCACATACTGCGTTTAGCTTTACAGGATTTCTTGCGACGAACATCCATTGATTTTGTGCAACAGCCTGGATCCATAAGGTATTACTTGTGAAACTTTGCCAAGTGCAAGATGATGTACTATTATTAAATAGATTTACTTCGCAAGTGCACTTGCCTGATTCAAGAGAATATATTTCTTGTGTATCTGAACAGATGAAGACATCATTTTTTGAAGACACACATTGTGCCAACTGTATTTCTGAAATCGGAAAGTATCCATTCCTATGAGTATTGAATGCCATCATAGACGTGCATGGTGTGATTGTCACGTATTCTCCGTTTATGATAGTGTTCATGATAGTGTAAACTGAACTGACAGTTCATGTTGTCGTCAAGTTCATCTCACGTTCATGATAGTGTAAATTGGCCAATTGTATAAAATTGTCATACTGTTTTTTATAAATTAAATATAGTAAATTTTGTATAATAAATATCGCTTTAAACATGAGTACGAAGTATTATAAGCATTATAAGGAATGCTGTATACAAAGTTGCGGCGACAATAATCGTCAAAATGAAGATTTAAGATTATTTAAATTTCCGTCAGTTGATACTCCAATGGGACAAATATGGAGAGAAAAATGTAATATTGACTTAGACAATTATAATAATATATTATTCATATGCAGCAAACATTTTCACTCTAGTGATGGTTGGTTGGTTGGTTGCAGTGGCAGGTCATAAGATAACTTCAAATGTACCTCAATTAGCGATTTTTCGCCGTTTTGTTACCACATTCCTCTCAAGAACCCTAGTATAGAAGTGTAGAGACTAAATCCATCTCACCGAATTTAGGTAATTTAACAGGTCTTTCATCCTTACCATTGAGCAGTCTGATAAACTATCACAAAAGTATTTTCCTAAGAACCTATATCTTCTGGATGCTAGAGCTGGGCATTCACAGAGGAAATGTATTATTGTTTCTTTCTCCCGCGGGTTTCCACAACTTCTGCAGTGAGAGTTATGGGGAATACGCAGTTTCTCTGCGTGAGTTCCTAACCACCCATGACCAGTAAGAACCGCAATAAGCCTTGCAGTGTTCACGCGATCTTTTTTGATGAGTTCCAGAGATTTATTTTTATTATAAGTGAGCCACGTTAACCTGGAAGTTGCACATGACCTTAGAGCTTTCCATCTGTTATTAGCGAGTTGCAGAAAGTAAAGAAAGGTACTTCTTTTGATGGTCTCCAGGGTAATATAGACTGATACCGCCAGTGACGCATCTAGGGAGGCACCAGAGCGGGCTAAACTATCAGCTTTCTCATTCCCTACGATGTTCCTATGCCCAGGAACCCAGATGAGTGTCACTCTAGTGATATATGTAAAAAATTTTTGAAACGTAGTGCTGTTCCCATATATTTACCTGAAACAATTTCCGACAACGATTCTTTTGACGAGCCTGTCAGTTACAATGAAAAAGCGGAAACAAACATTGAAACATATTGCACAAATTGTGAGAAAAACTTGAAAGCAGTGGAATTTTATAAAAAACAGTTTTTTACTATTTCAAAAAAAATTGAATTGCTTACTAAAAAAAATAGGTTTCAAAGAGTGCAAGCCAATAAATACCGAAAGCAATTAAAAAAGTTTTCGTGCAACATTAAAACTGATACAGACACAAAATTAGTTTCAAGTAATACCAACACATTTTGTAATTTACTTCTGTTATCCAGACCAAAAAAATATTCTGAAGAAGTCAAGACTTTAGTGCAAAATATATATTATGTTTCCGCATCGTCATACTTATTTTTAAGGAACAGATTAAATTTAAATTTACCACACCCTAGTACTATTAATCGGTGGGCGCCTATTACATCACTTCAACCTGGCTTCAAAAATAGTGCTTTTCATTTCGTGCAAAATAAATGTCAAAATTTAAAAGAAATCGATAAAGAAAATGCTGTAATGGTTTTCGATGAAATGGTTATCAGACCAGGATTAAAATATAATGAGAAGCTAGACATAATTGATGGAGTTGAGGACAATGGATTTTTCAGATCTCCAACTATAGCAAAACATATTTGTGTGTTTATGGTTAAAGGTCTGACCACAAACTGGTCATTTATTTTTAATTATTTTTATTCCACCAATGGATTATCAGGTGAATGCCTTTCAAACATTATATTTGAAAATTTAAATATTTTAAATGAAATGGGTATCAAAATTCGTGCACTAATATGTGATCAAGGGTCTTCAAACAGAAAATGTTATTCCATCTTTGGTGCTGGAATCCACAATCCATACTTTTTTCATAACAATTTAAAAGTTTATTGCTTCTTTGATTTCCCTCACTTGATAAAATCCTTGCGAAATAGTTTTAGTAAGTGTGATTTTAATACTCCTGATGGTCTTGCAAGTTTTGCTGTTGTGCGTGAATTGTGGGAACATGAAGAAAATTCAACTACCAAGATGTGCCCAAAATTAACAAGACAACATATATTCCCTAACTCTTTTGAAAAAATGAGAGTAAAATTTGCAACACAAGTATTTAGCAAAACTGTTGTAGCTGCTATTAAAACCGTTGTAGATACATCTGGCTTTAAAAAAAGCACTATAGAAGTTGCATTGGCAACTGCACATTTCATACAAAAAATTGATCGAATATTTGATTGTATGAATAGCTGTTCTTTATATGCTGACAATTCTTTTAGATCAGCAATCCAATTGGAAAATGAAAGTTTTAATTTTATTAAATACTTTCTAAATTATATTAAACAGGTGTCTTTTGCAGATACATCAAAGAAAGTGTTTTTTTTAGAAGGACTGCAACTCAGTTTACAAGCTGCTTTGTTATTAGCAGATGACATTTTAAAGTCCTCAACTGAAATTTATTTTTTAATGACAAAGCGTTTACATCAAGATAGTCTTGAAAATATTTTTGCAATTCTTCGTCAAAAAGGTGGCAATAACTCAAACCCCACAGCAAGTGAATTAAATAATATTTTAGCGAAAGTTATGACTTGTAAAATTATTCAGTTAAGTTATGTAGCCAATTGTGAAATAAGTGAGGATAATGATAACAAGTGCCTTGATGATGTGCTTTCTTCTTCTTTGATGGAACTCGATGAAAATAACTCTAGGGTGTCTAGTAACTGTGCAGTATAAGCCTCCTCTGATCTAGAGTGCAATGACATCGAAAATTGCATTATATCAGATGCATTTTCCAATTCAAAGAATATAAATATTGATTTATTGTCTTTAAGATACACAATAGGCTACGTAGCTAAAAAAATACTTTCAAAACTAAATTGTGAAGCTTGCAATATAAACTTAAAAAAAAAGGGATGAAATTTTGACTGCTCCAAGTGAGCTTTTCATCTACTATAAAAATTATAATTCTCTCTCAAACTTCGGTAACCTGTTTGCGCCATCAGAAAGTTTTTTCAATGTTTCTTGTAAACATGTCGAGGTTTTTAAAAATGTATTCAAGAATAAACCAGATGCAATTGGCATTAAAAGTTTAATAATAGAAATGTGCAAGAAAAAACCCCTCAGTGGTTTAAGGGGCCCTGTAATGAACATTTAATCCAGCTTCTTGATTTTTTAATTCTGCTTTTACTTCGTAAGCATTGCTTGTGGGCCTTAGAGAAGTCTAAAATCAACACACATTTCTAAAATGAATATGAAATATGTTAGCTCTACAATTCAAGTTAGCACTTAATACAAGATCAATTAATACAACTCTTATTAACAATAATGTAAAAGAACTTAGCCAGAATTTAGTCATAAAAATATATAGTGAATTTATATTTTTTTTAAATGTTAAGAATAAGAATATTATTTAAATAATTTGTATTATTAAATAACCAAACATTGTAAAATAGATAATTATATTTTTAGAATTAATTAAGTTAAGCAAGTGTCAAATTAGCGAATATTATATAAGTACATATTTTACATTCTTAGAATTAAATTAAATTGTAATATTGCAAATATTAGTAAAATAATAAAGAACAAAACATATATACAAAATAGTTTAATAAACGAAATATGAACATATTTAAATATACATACAAATTAAAGAAAACGAACAGAGTATAAAATGCATATATGTATATACATATGTTTTTATGTCCAAATGAGCATATTTATAACCAAAAGAGCGGTTGAGTGTGATAATGTGCACATATCAATGAAAATACAGCCTCTTTGCACACATATAGTAAAAGGACTCAAATATTGAGTAATTCCTGGGTTTTTAAAAAACCAGTAGAACAAAATTTTTGTGACTGATATTTTGTTCGACATGCACACTCTATGTGTATATACTCTTTGATACTATGCATAAATCATGTACTCATAGCATCAAAATATCAAACAAACAAAAAAAAATATACAAACAGAAACGAAATGCTTTCAAAAACCAATACAAAATGAAAATGATCTAATTTTTTGGTGCAACGCTTTGCTTTGCATTTTATGCAAAGACTCTGCAATGAAATTTTTATTTGCAAAGTGCAAAGTAAATCATCTTAAGTCTTTGGTGCAACGCTTTTCACTATTACTTTGCAAAAAAAAGTCACTCATAAGTTTTGCAAAGTGCAAAGTGAAAAGTGTTGGTGCAACAGGGCCCTGGTCACCAAGCAGCTTACTTGGTACCTAGGGCTCACATCTCTCTCTCTCTCATGATTACTGAAATAAAACTCTAAAATAAGTTTCCATTCTTCCACAGGACTTCTCTGTTGAAAAGTATCAGAACGCAAGTTCAATTTCTTATTAAAGTACTATATTCAAAATATTTATGTGTGAGAATATTAAAGAAATCATTTTTGTTTTATGGCCACCAATATCTTTCATAAAAGTGACCTAAATGATGCTTTAAAATGTGAGCAAGAACTGGAGTATCTGGGATTATCTATTTTGCCTTTATAGTAGTAAAAGAACTTGTAAAAAATTTGGATTAGCAATTTCTTCAATACTTGTTTTACACTTCCCAGCAAATGTCACTTCATTTAATGGGGCTAAAAAGTAGATATAAAGTATGCAATTTGTTCCTATATGTCAATAACTTCTTTGTAGTACAACTTTGAAGTTTAAAGAAATGCTTCTTATATTATTTATATTTTAATTAAATGAGCTTTACTAATTAAATATTGACAACGTCTTTTATATCTATTGGTAGTGATTCCCTCAAACAATTAATTTGTAATTTTAATTGAACTTTTGTGCCAGTATTATTGATGTCATTTAAATAGTTTAATTTACTCGATTTATTGGCATAAAGATTTAGTTTCTGTTTAAGTTTTAGCATCATATCCACAATTTCCACTTCCTGTTTATCTTGGGCCCACACTTTAAAATTAGTACTGCTTAATGTTTGCATTTGTATTTTTTGTAAAGCTAATTGCAGTTCACTTCTGCGTGATTTATACCAGCCATTAAAATTGGGTGTGTAGAAAAATCGTCTATATAACCCTCTCCAATCCCCCTTAAGAGTAGATGTCAAATGAGGCCCAGAGTGTTCTAGGGTTGAAAGAAAATCATCTAAATTAAAGACACCTGCATTCGGCGTTAACCTGAAGGGATTTATTGTTTTTTGTAAAGGCATTAGCGAAGCGACATAACGTTCTAACGGTATCATAAAGCTTTGAGTTAGTTCCAAAAGATTACGGCGTATGAGTGCAGTTTGAACATGCGCTGGTCTGTTCGTTTTTATGCCATGTAATACTTTATTTAAAAGAGTCTTATCTTTTTTTAAGAATGGTCTATATTTTGTATAAAGTCCTGGTGCTAAGGCATCGCTACTTATTGCACCAAAATTGGCAGGAATAGTTTTGTTCCCGAGAGGTGTTTTGTCGAAATTGTTACCAGATGTATTTGAATTATTTGTGTTCATATATTTGCTGTGTATATGTTGTTGCAAGTTGATCTAAAAAAAGAACTTAACTAAATTTTTATACTTATAAAAGCTTTAACTTTTTACCTGATTATCAGCAAGAAGAATTTTATGCGGCCAATCTGTAAGAAGTTTCACAAAAAATGGATTGGTAACACCTAATATTACAGGAGAATACGCATTTTTATATTTTTTCGTAAATTCTTTAAATTCACTATCATGTATTGTGAAGTAAGGTCTGGCTTCCGCATAATATTGTAAGGGATTTATTAATGCAATAAGTGTTTGTACCATAATAGAACAATCTGCAGGTGAGGTTCCAACAACTATAATCGGTTCAGCAGTTAATACTAGCTCCCATATTGTATATAAATTTTCTAATATGAATTCTAAGCTACTAAATAAGTCGAACTCATTCACAGAGTAAATAATTTTAGATGTCAAATTTATTTCCTTGTTAGAATTGGGTAATTTCAAATTATTATTTTTTTTATTCTGAATATTTTCACTATGCATTTTTGGAAGAAATATTTGGTAATTATATTCAAACAAATTTAAAGAAAGAACCCCAGCCTGAGGTGAAGGCCACTCTCGGTTAATTAATTGACACGCATTCTTTATAACAATATTCCCATCACTGAAGTATTTAGGTGCTAACTGTGTTAGTACTTCAAAAAACAAATTATAATATGGTAAAGATGTCATTATAATAAAGCTTTTTTGAAAATACCCACGCGGAATATTTGAATCTTTTTTTTGACGAAAATATACAAAGCCCCAAAAGTGTGATTGATTTGAGGCCCTAACTGGTGAATATTCATTTAAAGCTGTACTCTCCGCTACAGAAATGCTTTTAGAGATAGATGGTTTATCTACTGCTCTTAAACTAAAATGGAATTTAGTGTCTCCCATACATCCGGAATTCGAATCAGGAAATGCCATATAACAAATGTTACTCGCCTACAATTATATTTGCGTATTTTACATCATATGGTTACTTTAATTATACTTACCTCTTGTTCTTTTGGGACAAATTCGGGGGGATATACAAACTCTAGTACTTGTCCTAAATTTAGATCAAATGTTACCACGCAAATGCATTTAATCCATTCTGAAAACCTTTCCCACTTTTTTACTTTATTTATTCTACATTGTTTTTGAAATTCTTGCAGAGTAACGCCTATTTCAGCACTCATCTGTAAATTCCTGTATTATTTACTTGCTCACTAAGCGACAAAAAATATCGTAAACGTACAATAACCTTCCATGCAATCAGAGTTAGCAACGTTGTTGTAAAGAAACGAAGGTTTTAATTGACGACAACGATTATACCAAAGAATACCTTATAGAAAAGAACACCTTTCAAAGAACAGGAACTCCAACCACTTCCAGAGTTACATGGCATTTACACTGGCAGCAAATGACTGATTTGGATCAAAAATCTCAAATGAGAAGCACATGACTAATTTCTGCATACAAAATTCCAAATGCGCGAATGAGTTCCATTTGCTGAATTTGTGCAAATGAGCTCCAAATACATTGAACATACTCTAAAAAAGATACTCTAAAAAGAATTTTAATTTTATAAAATAAATGGATAAATGGAAAATATATATAACCAAATAAGCACCGAAAAGGATATATTTAATAAATTTTACAAAATCATTTATAGAAACGAATGGACTAATTTAAGATAACTATTGCAGAGTACAACTATAAACTTACGAAAGAACATCCACAAGCGATATGAAACATCGGAATATTTGAACAGTTTTCTAGATGCTTTATCTGTCGTCTATATTTTAAAGAAAGTTATAAAGCAACAGCTGTACCCCTAGTGAAGACAAAGCTTAAAGGAGCAAGAAGATGTCTAATAGAAAATGAGGTATCATTGAATCAAATAAAAGATAAACCTAAATCTTTGTTTAAAAGTGAGTCTGTATCAGTACACACAGCCATGCTCATGAAGACACAGTAAGGGAGTAAAACAGCTAACCAATATGTTGAAGAAAAAAAATTTTTCACAAAATCTCTACAATAATAGTCTACATTTCAGATGGTTTATCTCCGGAGCAGGCACAGAAATATTTGACTTAAGAAGCGGTTGACGCAATGACTAAGAATTGCTCTTTAGAGAAAGTAAAATTAATAATGGAAGCCGGTCAGTTCAAAACAATGAACTACGCTGTACGTCATTACATAAAATAATGCTGCATTTAACCCATTAAGTACCAGGCAAGTTCAAACTTGGAATTTTATGGTGAAATTTTCAAAAAGGTCTTATTTTACGTTAAAAATAATCCTTACAAAATTAAATTTTTTTTTTGAAAAGTAGTTTTCCGGAAAAGTGCCGTGTGGTCAACCACACGCTGGGACCCGTAGCACATTTTTCTCTCTTCGATAGTACAAACATTTTTAAAAGTGTTTTGTTCACAAATATGATATTTAGTTACTTTTATGGTGAAGTAAGTATCGTTTTATGTTAAATGGTATAAAATTCAATGTTCTATGCTTTTCAAATATTTATTAATCAAAAAAATATATGAATTATTACATATATATTGTATTAAGTAATAAGAAATAAGTTTACTTGCCTCATTGTCTACGATCAATGTAATATTTTTTATTTTCATAGAAAATTTTAAATCAATTTTCTACATGACCATTTAAATGGCACTTTTCGTATATAAAAACTGTGGCTTTGATAAATATCCCGGAAGATAAATATCTTTTGCAACACTGTGACTTTTGTTTTTCAAATCATCGTAAGCGGTAGCTTTTGTAATGAACATTGAGTTCTTTGATGGAAGACGAAGGTTTCTGGCAATGAAATTCTTGAAGTCTAACTCAGGCATCCAGGCATCGGTTTTGTGTTGGTAGAAGCAGCGACAAAGCAATTTAGTTTTAAGCGTTTACTACAGCGCTATCTAAACACTGTACCTATAATGGCCACCACCCCATTTTGCTTCTATTCCCGATACGATAGTTAGCAACTCCATTGTCATGTAAATCGATGCCACCCATGTATCGGTAGTAGCTGTTGATAACTTGAGAAACTGTGGTACACCAACTTTTTTTTCTCTCGGCTATAGCGTTGCACATTTACTATGGGTTCAACGGAAGTATACAGTATGTTGCAATGGATACTCACAATAGCTCACTAATTTTTTTACAACTAATGGACCGATTTCCAATTGTTTGTTGTATTTATCAGTTGCACTGGAGTATGGCAGAAACTGGAAGATATATCCACTATTCACAGAAAAGGTTTACAGCTTGTAACCTGTTTCACAAGTTCCAATGTGAATAGTAGCGACTCAGGCATTTTAACAACACCACCATAATCTTGTGCATTTGAATTTGTACAACATCGTGGGTATAGCTGCCTACACAACAAGAAACACTCACTTGTATACATATAACCGACGGTTCCTGTATTGAAAAACAAAATAAAATTTGTTAAGCATTGATAAAAAAAAACATTAACAAATCAACTCACCGCAACCCTCTGCTACCACAACATAACTGGACAAACTTTGAAATTATATGAACTGAAATTTGATATGGGGTAAGCTAAAATATTGCAACAATATTACCCACTCTAAATTATCGTTTTGAATATTTATGTTGCTGGAACTTTATTGAATATAAAATAATTTTATATTGATTTTAAAATAATTTTTCACATTCACTGAAATAAACACGTTGACCGGCATAGCATTTTATTGAAATAAAAAAAAAACAAATAAGATCAAAACAAAATGTTAATGAAGAAATGTCAAACGAAGAAAGCTTTGGTGCAAAGTTGTGGAACTAGGCCAAACCATAAGAAAGAACAAGTTCCAGCTTCCACATGAGAGAAAAATTAGAATTCGCCCTAAAGCTAGACTTTCGCTGGTGCATTGCAGAGGGATCAGTTCACGAGCTTCGATCAACGGTCGTTGAACTTTAACGTACCTACAGCTGGCACCGTTGATCGTTGACGGTATAAAAGTGCGTACACTTGGAAGAAGCGGTCTCTTGTCTTGTTTTGTGCAATCGTGAAAGGAAAAACTCCTGGTTCTGGCGTTAGCAGCAGCTGAATTTCTCTAACTAAGACGGCGGTGGCAATATCAAAAAAATAATTTCTCAGAGATAGTGTAAAATCTTGTATATAAACAAAAGAATTATTTAAAACTAAAAATTAAACTAATTGAACTAGTAAATTTGTAAAAATCGAAATTCTTAAAAACTTTATTTGATAAATTTTTTATCGACACTGCGCGAAGCGGTAGAATATTATATAAAAAAAAATAATTAAACAGTTTCTCAAAGATAGTGTAAAATCTTGTATATAAACAAAAGAATTATTTAAAACTAAAAATTAAACTAATTGAACAAGTAAATGTGTAAAAAATCGAAATTCTTAAAACTTTATTTGATAAATTTTTTATCGACACGGCGAGAAGCGGTAAAATATTGGTAAGAGCCACAGTACAAAAGAAATAATCGACGGCTTTAACAGTGGTCGATTAAAAGATTTTGTACTCGTGCAAGTTTCCGTACGGCTAAACGAAAGTGTTGACACCACAGGCAAAAGACGTGGCGCGGCTTGGGTGGCCCCCCCCCTCGGTACGTGGCAGAACATAAATTGATCGGTGTTTTCTTTTTATATATCATCGTCGCTGGACGTCACAAGCAGTGGGATATTACGCCCCGATGTACCAGAAAGGGTAAGATTTATTTATAAAATGCAGTGCAGGTTTTCGCGTAAATAAATTCAATGTATAAGCGCAATTTTTAAAATTCATTTTATTTGAATCGAACGAACCGCTTCAAATTTAACAAATTCCAAATTGTATAATTGAATATCTACAAATCTTATTCATTTAAATGGAAATGGGAGAAGTAACAACAATGCGGTCACAATCGTAAAGGCTTCAAGTTAAGCGCATAGGAGTATAAACTTTCTAACCTCAACAAGCTCATGAATTATTAGTTCTTATGAAGTAGAATTTATATTAAAAAAAAAAAAAAATGTATCTTTGTAAAATTGAACTTAAGCAACTGAAAACAAGATATTTGTAAAAAAAAAATGTATTCTGTTATATGCAAACATAATCTTAAGTAATTATAAAGTGTAACATTAAGAATTTAATTATTTAATCCACATTTAAGGAATGTAAAAATATTACATAAAATTCTAAGTAAAATATCAAAGTAATCTTCACACGACTACGCTTAATATAGAAATTCTTCTTCCCTTATATTTTTATTTGAAAATATTTTATGAATTTTATGAACTTTGTTGTATTTAAGTGAACACGAAATTGCATTTATAAAACTTTAAACTTAAAATATGATTAATTAATGTTGTTTTTTTTTAAAATTGAAAACAGTTAAATATTATTTGCTTATTATTATATACGAGTATTTGTAAAGATATTATTTGATAATTTTTTTTCTTTAAAATACATTTATTGCTATATTACACATATCATATATTACAAATTGTTCAATAAAGTAAATCTTGAATTATAAAGAAATAGTTTGTTGTACTGGATCTTACTTCACGACAGTGGAAACTACATTGGGTCCCCGCGAATACAAATTTCTTGCAAGACCTTGGACTAGGCTGAGGACTACCCCGGCTACAAAAAATAGGTTCATTACAAGTGGCGCCCGAGAAACTAAGGTTCAACAAAATACGTCGAAGCACAGCTAAGTTATTTAGTTTCAGATATCACAAAATATCTTGTATCAGTTAATATGAGTCGCAGCTGGGTAAGAAATCTACGGAAAGAAGAGCTAGTCGTTTATTTAGACGAATTCGAACAAGATTCAACTGGTGTCGTCGATGAATTGCGCCGGCGATTGGCAAACTTTATTGCACAAGCTGACCACAAACCGCAGATAATAACACGATTAAAAGAACTTGAAGATAGACATAGCAGAGTGTCCGTAGGTGAAGTAGAAAACGATCACGCCGTGGAGGAAATACCATTGGCACCCCCAGAACGGACAACGGAGCGATGCCAAGATAATATTCCACAATTGACTCTTCCTTTACATCAGCAGCCGTACACGCAACATACGTTACACGTACCATACACACTACCTAGAACCATGCAAGCAACAGTCATCGATCAGGCTAGAAAATGGGCGGTCCGATTTGATGAGAGCAGCGATCCGTTAGCGTTTGTGGAGCGTGTGGAAGAGTTAGCAAGTGGATATGATCTTGCGAAAAATATGCTACCTCGTGCGATGCCAGAATTACTGAAAGGGCAGGCCTTAGTATGGTTCCGTCACAATAAAGGGGACT